CACACACACACACACACTCTCACACACTCTCACACTCTCTCACACACACACACACACACTTAAATATTTTAAATAAATATTTAAATAAATAGTGTATTTTTGTAAAGAAATTAACACAAATTGACAGTAAACACATTTATAATATAAAAAAAATATTTCTCCTCCAAATAAAATGTATTCATCAAAGATTTAAAAAAAATCATTGTTTTCACAAAAACATTAAAAAGCACATTAAGAAATGTTTCTTAAGCAGCAATTCAGCATATTAGAAATATTTCTAAGAGTCATGTAAAATGGAAAACAGTTATTTCTTTTAAACTGTAGTAATATTTCTTATTTCTTATTATTACTGTGTTTTTGATAAAGGAGTAGTTCACTTCCTAAATAAAAAATTCCTGATAATTTACTCGCCCCCATGTCATCCGAGATGTTCATGTCTTTCTGTCTTCAATCGCAAAGTAATGAAGGTTTTTGAGGAAAACATTCCAGGATTTTTCTCCATATAATGGACTTCAATGGGGAGCAACGGGTTGAAGGTTCAAATTGCAGTTTCAGTGCAGCTTCAAAGAGCTCTACACGATCCCAGTGATAATTTAGCCAACTTAATGTGCTTTATAACTCAGTTTCTGGATATGAAATTAAAGAGCAGCTGAGATATCTACAAAAGCATTATCATTATTTCATTCTTTTTCTAACATTGCTGTGTTTTTACCCTCGATAGGAGTGTCCAGGTTAATGGATCTTCTTGCTGACTCCAGAGAAGTTATCCGTAATGACGTAAGTGTTCCTGCTCTACATTAACACGAGTGTTCATACAGGCAGGCTCTTCTGAAATCAAACCATTTGACTTTTTTCTCTTTAAGGGTCTCCTGCTGCTGCAGCAGCTAACCAAAGGCAACACCGCGATTCAGAAGATCGTGGCTTTTGAAAACGCATTTGAGAGACTTCTTGAGATCATCACAGAGGAGGGTTCGAGCGATGGAGGTATGCGGTTAACCAACACGTTTCATTTTTAAAAACCAAACAGGACACCCCTGAACTGCATCTTGACCTCACAGGTATCGTGGTGGAGGACTGTCTCTTATTGCTGCTCAACCTCCTGAAGAACAATAGCTCCAACCAGAATTTTTTAAAAGAAGGCTCCTATATCCAGAAGATGAAGCCGTGGTTTGAGGTGGGAGATGACAACTCCGGCTGGTCGGCACAGAAGGTCACCAACCTCCATCTGATGCTGCAGGTCCGATATGAGGAATCTGTTTGATATGTTGCGCATACTGTAAGCATTTATAAAGATTACACATAGTTCTAGTTATTACAGTAATAATAACTAGATAAAAAAAGTTTGTCAAGACAAACTTTAGGTTGGCTTGAGAAAGCCTAGCCTGGAAGTTTTAAGCAGTTGTAAAAGCCTGAAGTTTGAAAATTTAGATAGATTAGATAGATGTTGATAACATGTTTCTAGCATGATTAGCAAGTAATTAGCATGTTGCTAGCATGATTAGCATTTTGCTAACATGATTAACATGCTACTACCATGTTGCTAGCATGATTAGCAAGTAACTAGCATGTTGTTAGCATGACTAACAAGTGACTAGCATGTCGCTAGCCTGATTAGCATGTTGCTAGCATGATTAGCATGCTACTAGCATGTTGCTAGTATGATTAGCAAGCGACTAGCATGTTTCTAGCATGATTAGCAAGTTACTAGCGTCACTTGAATTTTTCTAGCATGATTAACAAGTAACTAGCATGTCGTTAACATGATTAGCAGGTTACTAGCATTTGTCGCTAGCATGATTAGCATTTTACTAGCATTTTGTTTGCATGATTAGCAAGTTATTAACATGTTACTAGCATGTTTCCAGCATTATTAGCATGTTGCTAGCATGATTAGCATGCTACTTAGCATGAGTAGCAAGTTACTAGCATGTCGCTTGGATTATTCTAGCATGATTAGCCTGTTACTAGCATGTTGCTAGCATGATTAGGAAGTAACTAACATGTTGCTAGCATGATTAGCAAGTTATTAGCATGTCAGTAGCATGATTAGCATGTTACTAGCATGTTGCTTAAATGATTAGCAAATAACTAGCATGTTGCTAGCGTGATTAGCAAGTCACTAGCATGTTTCTAGCATGATTAGCATGTTAATAGCATGTTGCTAGCATGATTAGCATGTTAATAGCATGTTGTTAGTATGTTTCTAGCATGATTGGCATGTCGCTAGGATAGATAGATTAGAAATATTAGATTTTTTTTTACAGTTGGAGTTTGAATAGTCTTGGCTCATCTGAACATTCCGTCAATGTAAGTCTATGGGATTTTTATGATTTTTAATCTTCAGTTTTATGAAAACCATAAGTCGGATCAGTTAGAAAAGATAAAGCACACTAAGTCAGATTAGTCTGAAGAGTTGGGCTAAGTTTGGTGGTTCTAGCTTGAAAACTCTAGAAGGAGTAGCGTTCAGAAATTTTAGTCTCATAAGAATAATAAGAAGAAGAAGCTTAAGTAGCAGATCAGTAGGTTGGCTTTCTCAAGCTAACCTAATGATACAAATATTATTATTTTTACTGCACTTTGTTATTCTTCTAGTTATTTACCCATTGTGGCTTTTATATTCTGTCATATTAAACACGTAGCTTATTTCCAGGTCGGATAGAAGCAGCTCAGTGGGTGAGTGTTGTTTAGCTGCGTGCGGATGAGTAGCTGTGCTTTGTCTCTGTAGCTGGTGCGAGTGATGGTTTCTCCGGTGAACTCTCCGGGGGCCACAGCCAGCTGTCAGAAGGCCATGTTCCAGTGTGGTCTCCTCCAGCAGCTCTGCACCATCCTCATGGCCACAGGTGTTCCTGCAGACATCCTCACAGAGGTCAGATTGCTGTCAGAACCGTGTTCACACTCTCTGTCTGGTGACCCACATGCTTCACCTTCAGCTGAGTTAGTGCTTCAGAATATACTTCGCGTCCATTGATACAGTTGAGGTCAAAAGTTCACATACAGCTTGCAGAATCTGCAAAATGTTCATTATTTTACCAAAATACGAGGGATCATGCAAAATGCATGTTATTTTTTATTTAGTCCTGACCTGAATAAGATATTTCACATGAAAGACGTTCACATATAGTCCACGAGAGACAATAATAGTTGAATTTATAAAAATGACCCATTCAAAAGTTTACATGCGCTTGATTTTTAATACTGATGAGTTTTAGTTTAGTGATAGTTGTTCACGAGTCTCTTGTTTGTCCTGAACAGTTAAACTGCCTGCTGTTCTTCAGAAAAATCCTTCAGCTCCAACAAATTCTTTGGTTTTCCTGCATCTTTTGTGAATTTGAACCCTTTCCAACAATGACTGTATGATTTTGAGATCCGTCTTTTCACACTGAACGACTCAAACACAACTATTACAGAAGGTTCAGACGCTCGCTGATGCTGCAGAAGGAAACACCATGCATTAAGAGCCGGGGGTGAAAACTTTTGAACAGAATTAAGATGTGCACATTTTTCTTATTTAGCCTAAATATCATATTTTTTTCATTTAGTACAGCCCTTCAGAGGCTACAGAAGATACTTACATGTTTCCCAGAACACAAAATAAGTTAAATTTACCCTGATCTTCAAATTCAAAAAGTTTTCTGGGAGCAGAAAACTGTTCAGGACAAACAAGAGACTCGTGAACAACTATCACTAAACTAAAAAACACAGCTGTGGATCACAGCTGAGGTAACAACACAGTATTAAGAAACTTTTGAACGGGGTAATTTTTATAAATGCAACTATTACTTTCTCTTGTGGACTATATGTGAACGTCTTTAATGTGAAATATCTTATTCAGGTCAGGACTAAATAATAAATAACATGCATTTTGTATGATCCCTCGTATTTTGGTAAAATAATTCACATTTTGCAGATTCTGCAAGCTGTATGTAAACTTTTGAGTTGTTTCAGTTGATACAACTGTATCAAGTGTGCTGCAAAAAGGTGAAGCCAAACCGTTGCCATCTGGTGGCCAGCTGCAGTACAGGTCATAAACCCACCATGAGCCAAACTAACATTCTATTACATTATAAATAATAAACATCATAAATACACTCTTCCCACTGCGCAGACTCACTCTCTGTGATCATTTCAGTATTAAATACCGCACCAGTGATGAAGTGTTTTAACTGTTTCCTCTTTGTCCTTCTTGTACAAAGACCATCAATACAGTGTCAGAAGTCATTCGTGGCTCTGAAGTGAATCAGGACTACTTTGCATCTGTTAACGCACCATCCAATCCACCAAGGTCTGCTTTGTCTTTAGCACTGGTTATTGGAACGGTAACCAAAAAAGGAAGAGTTGGTAATATGAACACATTGGCTGTTTCCTCCAGGCCTGCGATTGTAGTTCTTCTCATGTCGATGGTGAACGAGAGACAGCCGTTCGTTCTGCGCTGTGCTGTACTGTACTGCTTCCAGTGCTTCCTGTACAAGAACCATAAAGGACAGGGCGAGATCGTAGCCACACTGCTGCCCTCCACTATAGATGGTAAGGGTTGCCCTGACTAGCTCTGCCCCAAAAATGTAAATATGCTGTTAATTTACTCATCTACAGGGGTAGGTGATTTTTTTTTCTTCAGTAGAACAGTAGAGAAGATTTTTAGCTGAAACTGCTCCTTGGTGATTCATAAAATGTAAGTCAGCGGCTGCATGTCTTTGAGAATAAAAAAAAAACATCAAGGAATGCAAAATTAATAGCTGTGGCTCCTGATGATATACTGAGGTCTTATGAAGCGAAACGATCAGTCTGTGCAAGAAACTGAACATCATTTACAACATTGTCACCTGTGATCCAGAGCCTCAGGCAAACGGGGAAATCTTCATTCAGACAGTTTGATTCAATGAACTGGTTCAGTTCAACCGTAATCATGCAATGACGTCACATATAAGCAATTATATTATTAAAGCACTCAATAATGTGGATGTTTAAGATGTCTAAAGCATATAAACTGAATGAACTAGTCGTGATCCGCTCACATTTTTATGTAAACAATGAGAAACTATAAAACCCCTTCATTCAAGTGTTGGGTTCACTTATGCTCATATCAGCTGCTCATCGGTCTTCGGTCCGAGTCGAACTGTTTGCTCCGTTCAGCTGGAGTGCTGAATCAGTTCATTCATCACAGGATCAGATACGCTGATATTTCGGCTCATTTCCAGTCGCAGTGACTGTCAGTCGACTGAAAGTGAGTTTTGATTGAGTAACTTGTAGATCTGTGCAAACTGATTCGGATGATTCAATCCGATTTGGTGAACTGATTCAACTAATTCACTAAAAAGAACCGGTTCAAAAGAATGATTCGTTCAAGAACCGGACTTCACTCCAGACCACATAAAATGAGTTAACTTCACTTATTTTTTTTGGATGGGTTGCATGTTTGTTTTCACTATTCAAAATGATTTTTGCATTTATTTTTCATCTGTCATTTGAGTGCATGTTCTGTCTGTCCCTCAGCTAGCTCTATCTCGGCGGGGCAGCTGTTGTGTGGAGGTCTGTTCTCAGCGGATTCTCTGTCAAACTGGTGTGCCGCTGTGGCTCTGGCTCACGCGCTGCAGGATAACCTCACACAGAAAGAACAGCTGCTGCGTGTACAACTAGCCACCAGTCTGGGCAAGCCTCCCGTCTCCCTCCTCCAGCAGTGCACTAACAGCCTATCCCAGGTACCTCTCGACATGTTAATGTTGTATGCATGTATATGCATGTGTGTGTTAGGATGCATTTGGGCTTCAAGACTCTGGGCTGATAGGCTTTAGTCAAAGGTAATTGTTTGCCTCCGTAATTCTATCAGATCTGCTCGTTTTGGACGCTCACTGTTGAAAAGACCAGACTTTTGGTTGCCGGTCTGCTGCATGAGGTGCTGGCGTTCTCATTCGTTCTCAGCAGTGTTACTTTCGTTGACGAATAATTTTCGTGAACGACATCTTTTTTCACCGACGACAACGAGATGATAACTAACTAAAACTCTTTTTGAATGACAAAAATTATGACAAATCTATTGACATTTTCGTCAACGAATAAAAACGAGACTAAAATGTTAGGGAGGGACGATTTGGGAAGAGATTCATTCAGAACGAATCTGCTGCGTGGTTCGGAGGTTAGATGCGTACACATGAACCGGCGGGACATAAGCTAACATACACTTGCTGCACATCGCAGCCGATATAACCATTGGTATTTCATTAAAAAGAAGACCATGTTCATGTTCTTTATGAGAAGTGGTTTTATTAAATTTTAACATAAAGTCATGTTGTGTGTCACCGCAGTTAAATCTGTGTCGATCATGATAAAACCTTAATATCAAACCTATATAATGAGTTTGGAAATTTCAGAGAAATGGTTAATAAATGCACTGCAACTAAACCCATTAGATTTTAGCCGACTAAAACTAAAAAGAATTCAGATGACTAAAATATGACTAAAACTAAAAGGCATTTTAGTCAAAAGACTATGACTAAAACTAAATCAAAATTTGCTGTCACAATTAACACTGGTTCTCAGCATGTCTTGAACATTAAGGGACCATTTTCTGTGGGTCTGTTTAAAAGACCCCAGTGGTAATGGTCTTTTTATTTAAAGGAATTAAATGGGTTTAAATGGATCTAAGGGAATAAAGAAAACATTGAAAGAACAAGAATATGAAGAATAAGTGTTTGCAAATAATATTGTTTAAATATGCACTCTTTGTCTTGTTTGGATGCCTAATATGCTGCAAACAAAAAATGTCGCCTTGTCACATTCAGTTATAAATTAACGAATCGTGTAAGTGACCGCCTGTATTTTCAATTCAGAACAGCAACATTTAACAAAAAAAGATGAGTAGTTTGTATCACTGAGTGAACACAGTGAAACATGTTTAGTTTGGCTTTTATTTGTAACGTTCATCTTTATGGAGTTTGAGATGCTGAATATGAAAATCACACGACTTTTTGTGTATCATTAACAGCTCATGAAAACTAAAGAATATGCTGACAACTCATACAAGCTCATCTGTTATTACTGTAACATTATTAAAATGGCACGGTCATGCATAACACTGAGCTAACAACAACCGTTTGACGTAAACAGTTATCAGAAGAGACCATGAAGTGTCCGTCAGATTTGTGTCTTTTATGACTGGAATCTTCCAGAAAGATGTAGAATATTACAGAAACTTCTAGAATGTTTCCCTTCCTCGCGAATGTGAAATATCTTTAAAAAAAAAAAAAAAACATGCAAAATTTGTACAAAACTTCTCCGTGCTAAATCAATGTTTCATAATTAATGATAGAAGTTCTGAAATTTACCAGACCTGAATATTGATGCTACGTGAAAATAAACAGCACAATAATAATTAGCACCGTTAGTCTCTCGCACGCTTTCACCGTTAAACGCTGGAATTTGCGCTCAGCTTCTGCAAACCAGCATAAAGCACCCGGACCGTCACGCTCATGCTGCTCTCAGCTGTGTTTCTCAGCAGGCGTGGGCTCGCTGGAGCTCGTGTAAGATCAGTGGGAGCTTGTGGTTGTCTCTGAATGTCAGAGTGAAATGTGCTGTGGTTTTTGCAGGGCGATAAGCTCGAGCGGCGGGTGAGTATTTGAGCGTGGACGGTTTCATGTGATGGTGTGGCTTGGCCTTGTTTTGGTTCAGCAGGTGTTGTGTGTTCCTCCTGTGTGCTGTGCTCTTACTGACCCTGCAGCGCTGGCTTGGACCGCATGCTCTGGTCTTTCAGGCTTGTTCTGGAAGATACAGATGTTTCGGACTCGATGTGTGAAATCTGTCATTCACCCTCTTCTCCGGTGGCTGCAGTCCAATGAGTTCATGACCGTAAATCCTCACTCAGAACTAACATTTCCCATTGCTTTTTCTGCTGCACAGTGCTTTCCTGTTTTGCTCTTTGCAAATAGTTTTTCTAAACGCGTTGATGATCTTGTGTCAGTTTTTCAGTGCTTAACTCTCTCCCGGCATCTGTTACTGCAGTTCAACCCTGAGAAAATCACTTAAAATCCCCCGCAGCATGACTTTTTGTCAACCTCTAAAACCCTTGCAGACGCTGCTTCTTTGGAAAAGTTGAAGGATGTTTTGAACGATGAAACCTTCTGCATAGTGTTCGATCAAAAATGTTCACAACAAACAGCAAATTAGTGCCGATATTCACTATGTTTGGGGTCAGTAAGAATTGTATTATTTTGAAAGAAATACTTTCTCACATACACACACACGCACACACACACACACACACTCGCACGCACACACTCGCTCGCACACACACACACACACACACACACACGCACGCACACACACGCACACACACACTCGCACACACACGCACGCACACACACACTCGCACACACACGCACGCACACACACACTCGCACACACACGCACGCACACACACACTCGCACACACACGCACGCACACACACACTCGCACACACACGCACGCACACACACACTCGCACACACACGCACGCACACACACACTCGCACACACACGCACGCACACACACACTCGCACACACACGCACGCACACACACACTCGCACACACACGCACGCACACACACACTCGCACACACACGCACGCACACACACACTCGCACACACACGCACGCACACACACACTCGCACACACACGCACGCACACACACACTCGCACACACACGCACGCACACACACACTCGCACACACACGCACGCACACACACACTCGCACACACACGCACGCACACACACACTCGCACACACACGCACGCACACACACACTCGCACACACACGCACGCACACACACACTCGCACACACACGCACGCACACACACACTCGCACACACACGCACGCACACACACACTCGCACACACACGCACGCACACACACACTCGCACACACACGCACGCACACACACACTCGCACACACACGCACGCACACACACACTCGCACACACACGCACGCACACACACACTCGCACACACACGCACGCACACACACACTCGCACACACACGCACGCACACACACACTCGCACACACACGCACGCACACACACACTCGCACACACACACTCGCGCACACACACACACGCACACACTCGCACGCACACACACACAGAGACACAACATCAAGGACACGTTAAATTGATCAACAGAGGCATTAAAGACATTTATAATGTTACAAAATATTTCTATGTCAAGGAAATACTGTTCTTAGGAGAAAAGTATCACTATTTTGTTGAGCAGAAAAACTTTGGGTTACACTTTATTTCAAGGTGTCCTTGTTACAGTGTCATTATACATTTAAGTACTGAGTAATATTAATTAACTACATGTACTTCCTATATGGTTAGGATTTGGTTTAGGGTTAATTGCATATAATTATGCATAATTCATTGTTATTATAATAGTAAGTACATGTAACGTGTAACAAAGACACCTTAAAATAAAGTGTTACCAAGCTTTGTAACATTGATAAATGTTTCTTGAGCAGCAAGGCTGGAGTCAATTTTAAATTACAGTTTAAGATACTAAAATGGAAAATGGTTCTGTTAAATTGTAATAATATTTCACAATATTACTGTGTGTTTTTAGTGTATTAGTTATCAAATAAATGCAGCCTTGAGCTGAAGTGACCTTGTTTATTTTTTTTCAAAACCAAACTTTTGCACGGTAGTTTATGTAGTTCTTCGACTGAAAATAGAGTGTTTTAAGCTTTCTTTAAGAAGCAGAGAAGCGCTGAAAAACACTGAACGCTACTGTGTAGTAAAATGTTCCTCGCTCCATTCTACCCTTGTTACTTATAAATATTCTACATCTTTGTTTTATTAATGGGAAGTCATAGACCAAATCAAATTTTGTTTGTTTGTATTTTTTTTTTTTTTTTTTTAAAGATGATCCTGATGCCATTTTATCATCAAAAGCTAATTAACTTAACTTAGCCTTTACGTCTGTTAGTGAGTTTACTGATCACAGATATGCAGCGGTAGAAGATGGATTGGGTTTTTAGGTCACTTGAAATTCAAAATGGAAATGAATTCTAACAAACAGCACACACTCTGCTCTCTCTGCCTGTTTTTGTGTAGTCTGAAGCATCTCATAGATGTTGAACACTCTTAACAACAAAGTTTATACTTCTCATGAATGAACAATTCTCTTATGAAATAGTATTTTATGAGATCGACTGTCTAATTGCAAGCAAAACAGGTCAAAGACAAGGGTTCGCCGGGCTCGGCACAGCTCTAACTCAAAAACCAAACCCTCTGCAGGCTTGCCGTTTATTGTATTTCTAAAGAAATGAGCAAATATGATTTGGAAGAGCTTGGGAATACTGTCTAAAATGACAGATGTTTTGCAGTGTCATGTGACTTTCTGGCAGTAGTTTCTTCATCAGCTTATTTGCTCGTTTCTTAGATGTTAAAGCTGTATCTCAGTATAGACGTGTGTGGCAGCACGAGCATGTGATTGAGACAGTGTAATTGTGTGTGTGTGTGTGTGTGCGCAGGGCAGTCGTGTGCAGACGAAGGTCGGTCTCCTCATGTTGCTCTGCACCTGGATCAGTAACTGTCCAATCGCTGTCATGCACTTCCTGCACAATCAAGACAACGTTCCCTTTGTATCCTTCTATCTACACACACACACACACACACACACACTCACTCACTCACTCACTCACTCACTCACTCACTCACTCACTCACTCACTCACTCACTCACTCACTCACTCACTCACTCACTCACTCACTCACTCACTCACTCACTCACTCACTCACTCACTCACTCACTCACTCACTCACTCACTCACTCACTCACTCAACACACACACACACACACTCTCACTCACTCACTCACGCTCGCTCGCACACACACACCTGGTTTATTTAGCTGATGTTTACAAACAGTGCATGCCTAATCTCTTGTACAGTGATGATAAAGTCTGAATGGTGGTTAATAATTGACAGTGTGACTGTGGGCTTTAAGGAGACCAGCTCTGATCACAGCATCTGAATTAAGTACAGTGACTTCTTCGAGTGCATTATGTTTCCTTAAGTGATGTTTTCAGCTGACGGGTCAAATCTCAGAAAACCTGGGTGAGGATGAGCGCCTGGTTCAGGGTCTGTGCGCTCTGCTGCTGGGTATTTGCATCTACTATAATGACAACAGCTTGGAGAATTACACAAAGTATGTTTGCACTTTTTCTTTCGTATTTTGTTGTGTTATAACTAGGGCTGTCCGTTTGAAATTTTATAAAAAATTGTCATGATTCATCTTTTTATTGGTAATTGAAGTGCATGTAAATAAATGTTGTGTTAATACATTAACATTAAATGAACACGGAACATTTTTTAGAAAGCTGATATGATTTTTACATTGTGTTGGGCAAAATTGGTGTTAAATATGCACTCAAAAAATAATACTTTTATTCATCAAGGATGCATTAAATTGATAAAGAAAAACTGACGGAACGTATTTTTACATGCTACCAAAAAAAAAAAAAAAAAATCTCTAAATGCTGTTCTTTTGAATATTCGGAATCCTGAAAAATTAATTTCCACAAAAATATCAACTGTTTTCAACATTCAGGATAATAAAGCATTACTTTAGCAGCAAGTCAGCATAATGGAATGATTTCTGAAGGATCTGAATAATGCGGAAATTTTTTTTTGCCATCACAGAAATAAATGCAGTTTTAAAATAGTTATGCTATTTCACGGTTTTACTGTATTTGTGATCAAATAAATGCAGCCTCGTTGAGCAGAAGAAACTTATTTCAAAAACATTTTTAAAAAATCATACCGACCCCAAACTTTTGAATGGTAGTGTTATGAAATGAATTTGATAATTGACAGCCCTTCTTATAACTTCGCCCTTGTGCCTCCTTCGTTTCACGTAATATTGTTCTGTTCCTCTCCTCAGAGAAAAGCTGAAGCAGCTGATCGAGAAGCGCATAGGAAAGGAAAACTTTGTGGAGAAGCTGGGCTTTATAAGCAAACACGAGCTGTACTCCCGTGCTGCTCAGAAACCTCAGCCGGCCTTCTCCGCTCCAGAACACATGCTGTTCGATCACGAGTTCACCAAACTCATCAAAGAGCTGGAAGGTCCGTGTGGGAGTCCAGAACCAATCCAGAAACTATCCGTCTGTGATCCCATCACAAGAGTCTAAATGGGATGCAGACCCACTGAAATAGAACTTCAAAAAAACTTTTTCATTAATACACTACCAGTCACAAGTTCTTGATCAGTAGGATTTTTAATGTTTGTAAAGAACGTAATGATGCTGAAAATACAGCTGCGCATCACAGAAATAAATTACAGTTTAACAGATATTCACATAGAAAGCAGTTATTTTAAATAGTAAAAATATGTCACAATATTACTGCTTTTGCTGTATTTCTGATCAAATAAATGCAGGCTTGGTGAGCAGAAGAGACTTCTTCAAAAACATAAAAAATCTTACTGTTCAATAACTTTTGGCTGGTCGTGTATATTCCATCCTCTCTGAGTTCAGCGGATTATTCTGTTGCTGTGCCTTAAAGACAAATCAATTCCTCCTGATATGAGCGTTTAGGCTTTCTTCATGTTCTGTGGTTCTTTATTTGTTCATAGGGATGATAACAAAAGCTGTGCTTAAGTCGAGCGAGGAAGAGAAAAAGGAAGAAGAGGTGAAGAAAACACTAGAACAGCATGACAGCATTGTAACGCAGTACAAAGAGCTGATTAGAGAACAGGTAAAAATACCTCAAATACATCACAAGCGCTGGTCTCTCCTTCCTCCTTTTAGTAGGAATAACACATGAATTTTCCATTTCTCCTGTTTATTCAGGATTGTCAAATAAATGAGCTGAAGGAGCAAGTAGCATCGCTGACTTCCCAGAGCGAGACGCTGCAGAGCACCGTAACGCAGCAGTTCTCTCAGATGCAGCAGCACAAAGACCAGTACAACATCCTCAAACTCAAGCTGGGTACTGAACCGTTCTCAGATGTCTAGCAGTACTGTCTGCAGTGTTTTAGGAGAAGTATCCGCTACAGCTGCTGCACTCTTCCTTCACGTCCCGCAGGTAAAGACGGTCATGTGAACAGCCTGCAGACGGAGGAGCAGAGCCGACTCCGAAAGAAGCTGGAGGAGCTGCAGAGACAAAACCAGCTGCTGCAGACACAGCTGACTGAAAGAGACTCTCTGATGACCAGCCTGGTGTGTGTGTGTGTGTGTGTGTGTGCAAGTGAGAGTGTACCACAGTGAGTGTCTGCTGAACATTTCAGTCTCAAAATCCTCAAATCCAGTCATCCTGGGCAGGTGCACTCGGGGCGGAGGGGGAAATGTGATTGTATCTTCTAACGATCAAATCGACTCCCAAATTGTAAAAAAATTATTTTCTAAATATTATTTAATAAAGAAAGCACCAGTGAGAGTGCGTGGTGTGACTGTAGTCGAATGCAGAAAAGAGAGAGGTTTGAGGAAACGCTGTGCATCTCTGAACAACACAGCAGTGTTTCGGTATCATTTGAGTGAACGATTCAATGATTCATTTACTCATTACGACAAAGACCAAAAAAATGCTTTTCTTACTTAGATTTTTGTCTTGTTTCCAGCCAAAATATCTAAAAATTCTTTAAAAAAAAATTATCTGCCAGTGGGGTAAACAAAATAATGTTATTTCAAACAGAAAACAAGATTATTTTGCTTGTTTCAAGAAATTGTTTTTCCTGAAAACAAGACAATAATTTTAACTTCCTTCTTGATTTAAGAATTTTTAGATATTTTGGCTGGAAACAAGACAAAAAAATCTGTAAGAAAAGCATTTTTTTTGCAGTGTATAAGTATTATTTTAGTTTTCAATACTCTGACATTAATGTTGTAAAAGTGAAATGAAGTATTAGTTACAGAATTGTAATCGCAGTGTATGCAAATGCATCTAAATGCCACTTCAGAGGCATCTGTGCCAAACCCGGAGATGAGAGCGTCCTGAAATGTTATGAAGTGACTAAGTAACTTGATATTGAATTGAAATTTGATTCAAAATGGGGAATCAGATTTCACAGTCACTCATTTCAGTCTCTTTTGATGCACCCTTGCTGAATAAACAATCTCACTGACCCTGAGGCTTTGAGCGATGGTGATCGTGCTGCTTAGTTCAGTCTTGTGTTTGTGTTTGTGTTTGTGTCAGTTTCAAGCAAAAACTCACTTACTTTTGACTTGTTTTTTCTGAAAACAAGACAATAATTTTAACTTCCTTCTTGATTTAAGAATTTTTAGATATTTTGGCTGGAACCAAGACAAAAAAATCTGTAAGAAAAGCATTTTTTTTGCAGTGTATAAGTATTATTTTAGTTTTCAATACTCTGACATTAATGTTGTAAAAGTGAAATGAAGTATTAGTTACAGAATTGTAATCGCAGTGTATGCAAATGCATCTAAATGCCACTTCAGAGGCATCTGTGCCAAACCCGGAGATGAGAGCGTCCTGAAATGTTATGAAGTGACTAAGTAACTTGATATTGAATTGAAATTTGATTCAAAATGGGGAATCAGATTTCACAGTCACTCATTTCAGTCTCTTTTGATGCACCCTTGCTGAATAAACAATCTCACTGACCCTGAGGCTTTGAGCGATGGTGATCGTGCTGCTTAGTTCAGTCTTGTGTTTGTGTTTGTGTTTGTGTCAGGCTGCGGCTGCAGGAGACGATGCTGTCCACTCAGAGTTAGACAGCAGACTCAAGGTGACCTGCTCTTTCTGTTTCCATCATGAGGTTCCTGATCTTATGTGCTTTCACATTCCCGTTTATAGCACTCCTAACTCTCTGTCTGTCAGGAGCAAGTTCAAGCTCTTCTGGAGAGCAAGGAGCTGATGGAGAAGGAGCTTTCTTCAGCCACGAGCTCAGCTGCTGTCATGCAGACGGAGAAGAGCAAGCTACAGCAGGAGCTGCAGGAGTCCAAGAAAGAGCAGGACGATCTCCTCATGCTGCTCGCCGACCAGGACCAGAAGATTCTGAGCCTCAAACACAGACTCCAGGACTTGGGAGAGACGGTACGTTCCTCTGGCTTTCTGTGGTGTGTTTCGAAGCTCCTTCGTCTTATTCTTGCTCTCGATTTGACTTTTTCCCTTAGATTGAAGATGAGGATGATCTGGATGCAAGGGACCAGTTTGACGACGATGATGATGATGAAGAGGAAGAAGAGTGTGATGAATAAAAAAGAATTGACTTCGTAGTGGAAGACTGCTAATACTAACCTGTCACTTACACACTTCGAGAAAGAGACCGAAGGCCATAGAGCTGATCTTCTGATTTTTAGAAGAATCACATATTTGTTTATTTTCTTCGTACCTGCTTTTTAATTTTTAGAATTTCTTTTGCAGTGGGAAAACCGTTGAACCCATTGCATTTCAAAGAAGCTTTGTGTTTGATCCACTGTCCCGCTGCTTGCGTCCTGGTGGCACACCATCGAAGATGCTTGAGGGGAAATAAAGAAGCTCTTCGTCTGCTCTGCTCGGTTTAACATCTCACTCAAACGTCCTCTTTTGCATCAGATCGCTGTTGTCTCTTTTTCTTCCAGCATGCAACAGTTTTCAGAATTGTTCAGCCATACGCTCATATTCACAAAGGACCAGACACACTCCAGCTGCTTTGCATTGCATCGTGTGTTGTTTGTTCTTCAGTAAAACACTGCTGAAGTCCCTCTGAAGGATGGGATCAGACACTTGCAGGTTCCTCTCAAACTGGAGAGCTATTGTGCAAAATTTGATTTAGCTTTTGGTTAATTTATGGATAAACGAGCCTCCTTAGAATAAACTGTGTAAATGCACGTCTGTGGCGTTTTGGTTTTAAACTCGTTGTTGCATGTACAGCTGTATTTGAGGTAATAATATCCACAAATAGAATTTTGCTATGAACTGCATTCATGGTCATGTTTGAAAATGAGTTATGCATTAATTAGATAGGAATTGTAAAGGAAGGCTTATTAAAATTCACAACGTATTTTTCTTTAAGCAGCCTTTCAGAAAACACTGTCTGGGGAAAAAACCCTGCTATAATATAATTAAATATTTGCTGTTTGTACACTACAATTAAAACGTTTAGAATCAGATAGTTTTATGTTATGAAAATATTGTACAAATTATGTATCAAATTAAAAATCTATTTTCAGTCTCTAGCTTGAGAAATAGACTCAAATTCATGGGCCATTAAACTACGTAGTAAATGTACTATTACAAGAATTGTAAATAGAAAATGTAGTATTACAAGAATTAATAAGTTATTAAAATATTAAAACTCTTAATTCAGGCCTTAGTTGCAGATGTTACATAAAAAAAAAAAGCCCACACATTTCTGCATTTATTGATGAACATATTTTGTGCTCATATTTGGCCCTCAAATGAATCATAGTGGGATAAGTGTTCTCAAACACAGGTTATGGGTTATATTATACAACTTAAAGGCACAATATGTAAGATTTTTTTTATTAAAATATCCAAAAACCACTAGAACAGTGTTATATATTTTGCTGACTTGTGTACTTGCATTATCCCAAATGTTTCGAAGAATGTTTAAATCCAGAGAAATAAGCAATTTTAACTAGAAGCACGGAGCGTGTCTATAGTGTCATAGTGTCGCCTGCTAATGACGTCATAACCCCTCGATTTCCAGTTGAATACGCGCCCTCTAGTGGCAAAAATTACATATTGTGCCTTTAAATTCATAGGCGCCGATCCGGGGCTGGAGCACTCACGGAAAAACGCCAGATATGCGCCATTAATTTGAACCAAGTCATAGCTTAGTATGTGCATAATATTTCTTACAGAAACTGTCGATATGCTTTATATTAATTTCTTGCGAGTTCAATATTGATTTCGCAAGTTCAATTTTTGTAACTGAAGATCGGGAGAAATGTGAATTATTCGTTGGATTTATTTATGTAGAGCTGAATTTAAAAAGTATGCGTTTCTAACCGATCGCAATTTAATGCTTAGAACACATTTTTCTTAGCGGTCAATGTTTTATACAATTTTTTTGTGTCTAGATTGTGTCCGTTTTGAGAATCTGGAGCTAGATAATTATTTGTTCTATTTTAGCTAATTGTCAAATTAGAATATTATGTTTAAGTCATTATTTTTTTTTATGCAGATGTAAAAAATTAAAGTGTATGTTATAATCTCTCATCATCTGCAGCGCGCACACACACACACACACACACACACACACACACAGACCTTGAGAAACCGGAGACCAGAGGAAAACAAACTGTAGGTAAATGGGCGGGGCTTAGTGCGTGCTAGTTATTTCGACTAATTGGTAAAAAAAAAAAAAGTTATATATTTTTTTTAATTCTTTAAACTAAATTGGTGTTAAAGTTTGTCGGAAATATCCTTAATTAGGGGAAATAATTGTCCAGACAAATGCTGGACACGCTCTCTCTCGCTCTAGTTATAGTCCGTTTATATCGCAATTCTGACTTTATTTCTCAGAATTGCGAGTTTATATCTCGCAATTCTATTACACGCAATTCTGAGAACACATCAGTCTTTTTTCCCTCAAAATTGGACTTTATAACTCGCAGTTGTGAGAAAAAAAAATCAGCGTTGTGAGTTTATCACGCAATTCTGTGGAAAAAAAAGTCAAATTGTGAGATAAGTTACAATAAACTTTTTTTTATTTTTTATCTAGTGGCGGAAACGGGCTTCCATACTTACCACCGTTTTTAAAATAATTATTAGATGAAAACGAGCAGTCCTAAAATGTGCATCTAATGAAAAGGATCTTTTACAGCGTTACTGTAGAAGGCAGTGACTGTCTCGAGAGACTCATGGACAGAGAAATAGGAGAGAGAGCAAAGCACAAAATGTTATTTTATTTACAAAGTTTTTGTCTTACATAAAGTAAAAATGTAGCTACGACCTTGATTCGTGCCACAGGCTGCCACGCTGAAAATCATAGCCCGCCTGTCGCACAGAAGCCATAGCAATCTTCGGGAAGTTTGGAACAAAAACTAAAGGGGGAGGAAATGTCAACCAAAAAAAAAACACTTTCAACAGAATATTAAAAGCAGAGACCCCAAACTAAATACCAGTCCCCAAAGTCCCCACAGGCTCTGAAACACAAACAGGCAGGGGACTGACTGTGGACTCGTGGAGGGCTGATCCAGAAGGCTTTCGTTCAGCTCACAGCTCCACTCATCAGTACAGTCTCGCCCCGCTTGGGTCAGGGGAGGTCTGGCTGATGGGAGGCGAGGTGTTGGAAAGGAAGGAGAGGGAAGGGTTGGTAACAGAGTTGTTCACTGGCTCTTAATCGTCCTCGTCATCGTCCTCATCATCTTCATCATCTGCGTCTCGTTTTCTCTTCTCACCCTTTCCTCCCTGCTCTTCTTCTGAGCGAGAAAAAAACATTAATACAGTGTAATGTTTAATACAGTGAGCAAATAAAGTGTAATGATATTAATAAAAACAGTATTCTTCCACCAAACAATGTAGCTCCTCAGAAACAGTTGTGGTTGCAACAAAGTGGTTGCCGAGCAACAGACAAACGTAAAAAAAACATTAATACTCCATAATCGCAGGGATTAAAGTTCCATCAGTTCATAAAGACAGTCACGTGCTTCATTCCTGAATGATTCAGCCGTTCGAACGAATCAATTGAATGAATGATTCAGTCATAGAATCAGTGACTTGCCGCCGATTTAGTTTCATTTTTAGCTATAATTTCTGTTATTTTAATCATATTTCTGTATTCAAAATTTTATTTAAAACATTAATCTCCACATGAATTTATGAATTCATTTTCTTTTTACTTTTGTAATGGCATCATTTTCATCTGTCAGACTCTAAAATTTAGATCTTTTTAAAACAATATGTAGAATAAGACAAATAAGTTACCAATCATATGAAATCAGTATTAATAAATTAATTTGTACTACAGAGGTGGCACAGAAGAACACGTTTAATGAGTCTCAGAGGTGGCATGAGTGCAATTCATAAATTCATGTGGAGATTAATGTTTTAAATATACAATTTTGAATACAGAAATATGATTGAAATAACTGAAATTATAGCTAAAAATGAAACTAAATCCGCCAGCAGGTGGCGGCAAGTCACTGATTTTATCACTGAATCATTCATTCAATTGATTCATTCGAACAGCTGATTCATTCAGGAATGAAGCACGTGACTGTCTTTATGAACTGACGGAACTTTAATCCCTGAATACAACTCACCTTCATCATCGTCGTCATCATCGTCATCATCATCTTCTACTTCTCCATCCTGACCAATTTCTTCCTCCTGAAATCGACGAGGTTTTGTCATTAAATCAGTTTTCTGTTATTAGTGTTATTCCACGAGCAACGCACGTACCTCATCCTCTCCACTGCCCTCCTCATCGTCCTCCTCGCCTTCAACCTCATCTTCATCATCATCTTCATCAAACTCATCCTCCTCTCCATCCTCATCCTCTTCTTCTCCATCTGCATTGAAAGTGATACGAATGAACATCGGCAACCCCCCACAATAACTCAACGGCCGAAACGGAAAGCTGGCCACACCGACCTTCATCATCGTCATCATCGACTCCGTCAGCTTCTCCGTCGGAGTCCGACGCCTCGCGGTCGTCCAAATCGTAGCCGTCCAGATACGCGAGCTGTGGGAGGAGCCTGAAGACGCTTTCCCGGTAGTCGTTCAAGTTTGTGACTTCGCAGTTGAAAAGGTCGAGACTCTTCAAATGGTCGAGTTTTTTCTGCCAAAGCGAACGGATCGATCACAAAACTGTACAAGTCCAGTTAGGGTTTCATTTCCAGCAAAGCTGTTCAAACATTGCACACTTTTTTTTTTGCGCTTTTATGGCTCATATATAGTATGATATAAAATAATTTAGAGCTCATACTCAGAAAAGAGGGGGGAAAAAAAACCCAGTTTTATTTAGAGGCACAAAAATATGCAATTTGGTGCAGATGCTTTTTTTTATGACCAAAAAGCGAGATGAACTTCCGATAGCTTGTAATGTAGATCAATGAGATCTTACTTTTACAGTGACAGCTGATATTTACATGCATTTTTATACCTCTCAATAAAACATCTCAGTGAGATGATATTTAAATAACAAAAATATTTTCTCACCAATAACGTAAAAGAAGTGTCTTTTAAAATAATAAAAAAAATTTACCCTGTTAAATATTTTATGATTAAATATAAAAACAATATTGATACAAGATGCTCACACAGAAACTGTCTATCATTTATTTTGGTCATGTTTCTATACTGAACATCTATGGAAAGATATTGAAACATTTATTAAAGGTCTTGGGAAGTTGATTTATCGGCAAACACAGAACCCTTCATTATAATCTGATGGCATATCTGCATTAACCTCCTGGGACCCAGAAAAAATTTATTTAGTATTTTTTCCCCCATTTTTTGTCATTACGTTGCTTAGAGCATAAGAAATAAAAATTTTAAATAGGCTAAAAAAAATTAAAAAAAAGACGAATAAACATGAATAGGCAAAAACTATTTATTTTTTACACTGTAACTCATTTGCATATCGATGTGTTCCTGGGGCAACGTAATGAAAAACGAAGTGTAATAATTGGCAAGATTTTCATAGTAATATCTAATATTTCATAGGAGTATTGAAGTATAATTTATTTCCCTATTCATTTGTTGTGTCTCCCAGAATGCGTAATAAACACACGTTTAGTCCTGCTGTCCTCTGCAGTGGACATGAATGAAATCAAGCCATGTTTCATAACAGAAAGTTTTGATTTGAAACCTCGAGATGTTGATTTATGACAAACAGTTTAAAGATTAGTCAGATTTAAATGATAATTACAAAATATGATCATATTACTGCATATTCCGTTGTCATAGATTGTCAAATGGAGTGCTCTCTTTCCATCAGCTATATTAGTATATTATATAAAGCCAAATTTAACAAATTTAAACGAACATTATTTCTCTCTTTGAAACTCGTTTCATGTTTCTCTACTGCGGAGAGACAAACTGTTTTTTTTTTTTAAATAAGGGTTTTAAAATAATTTATACAATATAAATTATACATACTGTTTATATTACAAATATATTAGTGCCTCGTATTGTTTCACCTGTGTTAAAGGGGTCATATGATGCGGCTAAAAAGAACATTATTTTGTGTATTTGGTGTAATGAAATGTGTTTATGCGGTTTAAGGTTAAAAAAACAAAACTATCGTGGGAGGGGCCTGTTTTTGTGACATCACACAGACAGGCATCTGAGATCGGCTCGATTTGAGAAAGGGGAAAACATTTAACCAGATAAAAAAAAAAACGCTGGGTGGATTTTTATCATTATAGGGTGGTTGTGTACACACACTGCCAACACACATTTATGTTCAAACTACTTGTAAAAGTGCATGTAGCATCCGATGACCCCTATTTCAAAAGAATGCATTTCGTAAATATTGACTCCATTCGCTAGACATGAAAGAACCGGGGTCAGACACTCGCTCTTCCCGGATGAGCAGCTATATGAGAAGCCCTGAGCTAGTTTTCACCAGCATGCTAGGAGATGTAAAGTTTTATTTGGTATCATTAGGTCCAATGAATGCATAAAAGAATATGAGACTGTTTTGTACAAAACAACTCAAACTGCAAAAACACCTTCCCTTTAATGAAAAGCCTGATTGGGGAAATTTTTAAATCATTTCAATTTACGATAAATGATGAATGTCTGTGGTATGTCTTATTTAATTCATGAAGCTCAGAGCTGGATGCACAGTATCTGCTTTAATGCGGGACAGAGGAGCTCAATGTGTTCGGAGAGGATTGTGAACGCACCTAGAAAGTGAGCAGAAGAGATAAAATGGTTATGTATGACTGGCCACAGATGCCGGCGCTTCACAGTCCTTTTGAGTACTCAAATAACATGCAAATACAGAGACGCCTTTAATGTCAACTTCATTTTTTATCACTTTGAAAAGTGATGGTTTATTGTGGCTGGCATGTTAACCGTGAACACTTCAAGAGACAGTTAGTCTATAGTGTCATAGTGTCGCCTGCTAATGACGTCATAACCCCTCGATTTCCGGTTTTGTTTTGTAGAAAACATGGAAACACCAAAGACGCTTTAATATGTTGTGTGTTTTAATAGACCGGTGACGACCGCACAGTAGCATTATAACAGAACTAAATGTATCTCGTATGATAAAACAGCGCTGCTTTACCCCACATACACACGACCGGAAGCAGCGGAAGCGCTCGAGTGTGGCATAACAAAAGCTCCGCTGCTCTGTGCCGTTTGCAATGCATAGCCAAGAAAAGAACGTTTTTAAAATGTTTAAAAATCTGGATGTTTTAAATGTTCAGAGAACCTCCATAAATAACGATTTTCTAACATAATGGGAACTTTAGCAAAATGTTTTAAGAATATATTTGTGTGGCGACAACCTCACCTGTGTCAGTGCATCTGCATTTCTTCTGAAACATGCCTTGAGTGGCTCTTCATGCACTCATGAGCTCTCCTCACTGCAATACCTGCAGCAAAGCACTGAGCGATTAGTCTGTTTGGTTGAAGGAATTCGGCTGCAACTGAGAGACAGAGACCTGCTGAAGAAACGAAAGGCCGAGGCAGAGGAAAAGGCAACCAACCAGTGGGTTTATGGGTAAAGATAGTGTTGAACGAGGCTAATAGAAACACTGGAGAAGGCTGTAGAGCACCTATTCATACTTGCATTCCTGTCACTCTGTGGTGTTGTGATGCACATGCACAAATTTGGGTTAGTTATCTCCTAATATCCAACAGAGCACACGGTCTCAAAAGAGTGAAAAAGAGGAGCAGCGGTACTCCGGGAAGGAAAGGTGCGGCTGTAGATGTTCCAGAAGATCAGGCTCAGGAATCAGATCCTTGCTCCGTCACACTGCCTGACTTACCCACGATAGCAGAGCCGCTGCCTGTGGAAACACAGAGTGAAGATCCTCTGCAAGGCTTTCTGATCGAGGATCTGGGGCCCGAAGAGGAGGAAGACATGCCTCAGAAGAGCCTCGTCATTGATGCAGGTGTTTGCAGAAATCTCTCTAATCATTGGGTGGTTCATTTATACAGTCAAGCATTTTATTTATTTGCTCGTCAGAGCAAATGAGTAACGTGCAGTGGTTTTAGGTGCGGTGGATGATGCACCTGAGTCGAAGCTCGATGCCGGCGAATCCTCCAGCTCCAGCTCAACCACACAGTCTACCGGAGAGTTTCATGATCTGAGTCGCTTTTCTACTGAAGAATGCATTGTAACTAACTCATTTACTATCTCTAAGGATTTCTAAGCCTGAAACGAGAACAAATGTATATTTATTAAAAATCACATTTCTATGTGTATATGCCACTCATCAGTACTCTGTCAAACAATCCAGATATATGTGACCCTGGAGCACAAAACCAGTCATAAGGGTCAACTTTATGAAATTGAGATGTATACCTCATCTGAAAGCTGAATAAATAAGCTTTCCGTTTATGTATGGTTTGTTAGTCAGCCCTCTACGAACACCTTGGCAATTGAATCGCCATTGGCTAGTAAATTTTTTTGTTTACTTATTTGGCTGAGATACAACTATTTGAAAATCTGGAATCTGAGGGTGCAAAAAAAATCTAAATATTGAGAAAATCATCTTTAAAGTTGTTCAAATGAAGTTCTTAGCAATGCATATTACTAATCAAACATTAAGTTTTGATATATTTACGGTAGGAAATTTACAAAATATCTTCATGGAACATGATCTTTACTTAATATCCTAATGATTTTTGGCATAAAAGAAAAATCTGTAATTTTGACCCATACAATGTATTGTTGGCTATTGCTACAAATATCCCCCAGCGACTTAACACTGCTTTTGTGCTCCAGGCTCACATATTGTAAATAAAAAAAAAGAAATTGTTACATTATAGCACTTTTGTGCCCTCTAGTGATTGTAAACTAGAACTTAGCAAAAAAAAAAATTTTTTTGCCATAAGCCTTGTTTAGTTTGTTTGTACAACTGACTATTTAAAAAAAAAAGGCTTTTGTATTTAGTCTTTGTCTGCAGTCATTTCACTGGATTCTTAAACCATCATGCAGGAATCAGTTTGATTAAAATTAAAAAAAAGAAATTGTTACATTATAGCACTTTTGTGCCCTCTAGTGATTGTAAACTAGAACTTAGCAAAAAAAAAAAATTTTTTGCCATAAGCCTTGTTTAGTTTGTTTGTACAACTGACTATTTAAAAAAAAAAGGCTTTTGTATTTAGTCTTTGTCTGCAGTCATTTCACTGGATTCTTAAACCATCATGCAGGAATCAGTTTGATTAATAAACCCAGGGTCTCACTCGAAGCTTCACTTCAACAAGTACATGTAATAAATGATCACACACAAACTACACGATTAAAACAACACATTCTATTAAATTGTTGAAAATAATTTAATGCAGCAATACAATACAACTAGCAATACAGTTGTTTTTTTGTTGTTGCTGAGAATAGTATGTTAACCTATATCTGTGCTGTGAACTAACATCTTAATGTGTTTGTAGTGAATGTTTTGAAATGATGATTTTCATCTGGTTGGAGATAATATTTGTAATGTCCTGCTGCTATCAGTGCAGACAGCTACACAGACTACGTTTAGTTAGTCATAAATCAATAAGACAGATTAAAGGGTTAGTTCACCCAGAAAACAACATGATGTCATTGAGTTTCTGTCTTCTGTGGAACACGAAGATATTTTGAAGAATGATGCTAACCAAACAATTTTGGCTGAACACTGACTTCCACTGCATGGACTTTTCTCAAAATATCTTCCCTTATGTTCCACAGAAAAATCAAACTCATAACGGGTTTGGAGTGACATCAGGAGGAGCAGGAAATATGGACAGAACTGACATATCATTATATACTGTATATATATATATATTATCATTGCGATCTGGAGACACCTGACTCTTTTGTTCCTGAGCGCAGATTAGGGTTAGGATATATGGCGATATATTTCTGCATTAGAGGCCTCCTACAACAACAACATGTAAAAAATATTCAGTTCTGTTTGTGTTTTTCTCTCTGTGTTCGGCTCTTTGAGGGTTAATGCGGCGCTGTGAACACGGAAAGCAGAGAAGAAGAAGAGCCGCGTTTCCGGTGGTTTTTTATCCAATCAGGTGATCGTGCGTTTTATTTTGAACGCGCCACTGGCGGTTAAATCGATAACGCTCGTTTCCCCTCAGGATTAAAATAAACGGTAACGCTCAGAAAAGCGCGTGTGATCCGCAAAGGTAAGAGTCCAAGAAAGAACACGCGTTAATATAAATAAATCAGTGATAATATTTTGGGTTTGTCCGGTTAGTCTGTCGAAATTAAGACTGTTCGCGAATTTATGAAGCGTTAATCTCCTCAGATCTGAATCTGAAAACATGTCATCTGCCCGCGGCTCGTCGAATGTGAGTAACGTTACTCCGCATAATGAATAAATCTGATCCGTGTTGTTCCCGCTATCTGACAGTTTGAGCTCTAATCATTAATCAGCGTTTACGTGCTTTATTTCAGCCAATGTCAGAAAGAGTTCCGCTCAGAGATGTAACGTTTCAGAACAAACTGCTGAATTTACAGGACCGTCCTAAAATAAAGGTATGGAGATGTTCCCTCACTGCTTTCAGATTGCTTTAACTTTGAGCTCAGCTGCCATGTTTTGTTTTCCTCCAGGTTGAAGTCGTCTCTGGTGAAAACCCGTTTGCAACAGAAGCAGCGGAAGAAACCGACCAACATCAGGATGTCGTATTAAAGTCCTTTGTGTGTCTTGAAGGAGAAGTCGTCGTTCAGGATGAAGCTGCAATGTCTGTTCTCATCAATGTGGAGTCTGTTCTCATCAGGCGGCTGGCACTGGAAGACAACGACGCGGCTCAGAGTGACCCGGATGACCTCGCTGAACCCGATGAGGAGAATCATGTTGATCATCATAGCAGCCCATGTAGTGCTTCATCTGCTCTGTGTCTGGGGGAAGAGGAAAACATCTCATTCGGATCCCTCTTGTGCTTGGCTGGAGAGGTTCAGGTTTCTGGGCGCTCAGCCGTCTCTGATGAATCCCTTCTCATTAAGGCATCAGGAGCCCAAAATACTCCTGTTTGTAAAGTGGCTGTATCAGTAAGCGGTCATTCTTACAGTGTCCGTGCATCTTTATGTGAAGAGCCTGAGAATACAGTGAACCTAAACGATCACAATCAAGCTGATCTCTCTGAAGGACGGCGTGGAGTATCTAGCGGGGAAGGAGAGATCACATTTAAAGGCTTGTGTTGCTCTGGGGGTGAAATAGAAATTGCTGCTCTATCCAGTATGTCAGAAATGTCTGCGCTTATGGAGAATCTTACAGAGGAACAACGCCTGTCTTGTTTAAACGACATCAGTGAAAATGATTCTCAGAGCTTCGCTGCTTTGACGCCTGGAAGCAAGCGCGACGATCACATTTACTGTCGTGCTGAGGAAAAGTCACGAGTCCTGAATATACCCAACGCTGGAAACGAGACTCGGCTTTCCTCGGTGGAGCTTTCGGAGAAGTCTGAAAGCCCAGTTGGTCGCTCAGCGTCGCCTCTTGGAAACATTACAGAAAAACAACATGAAACTGAAGCATCAAGCACAGCTGCTAATCAGGAGTCAAGCCGACGTGAAAATAATATGGAAAGTTCAGACGCTGTAAGCAGCAGTGATGTCTCTTCTGTCATGACTAAATGTCGTGATCTGCAGTTTCTGCCAGAAAGCAACGAGGCGGTTTCACATTTTGAGGAAAACCTTCATCCACAAGGTGCCTTTTGTGAAAACGTTGGCCTAGAAACCAGCGTTCTCAAAGATAAGACACCGGGTTTAAAGGACGAGGAGATCGAAGTTATGCGGCTCTGTGATAGCTCTGCTGAAGCTGTCTCTGTTCTTCCCAGTGCTATTGCTCTGACAGGTTCCTGCACTCCAGAGACGCCCAGCTTAAACAGGAGTGTGTTGCGTGACCGCACCGTGGAGAACCCAATGAGCCATCTGTGGCCGGAGCTCCCGGAGAGTCCCATGCCGCCTCCGCTGTTGAACTCCACATCCCTGGCTAATGATTTTGGCTGCACACCTGTTCCTCAAGACCCAGCCAAGAAAAAGGACGTGGAACCGAAAATGGCTTGTGCTCAGTTGTCGAACGGCCCTCAGGTTTTAGGCAGCGAGCCCCTACAGGAGCAGCTCAGACAGATGGCTGAATTGTTGATGGTTGCGTCGGGGAAAGTGTATGCTCGTGCTCCAGCAGCAGTGAATCATCACAGTGCTTTAGTGGGCACTTCTCCGGTAGAGATGCGTAGCGCGTGTGTCTGGAGCACCCCGGTTCAGCAGATGGAGCGGAGCACTAATACTTCCACAGCGGTGGAGATATTAAAGACGGTTGATGTTTCTGATGCCTGCACTTCAACTGACTCTCTGCTGTGGAAGTAAGTAAGATAAGCCGATAAGTGCGAGTTGTTTTCTCTCTGTTGATGTGGTCTACATCGTCTCTGTGTGACTCTGTCTTTGCAGCCTGACTCCTGGAAATCTGGAGAATCTGTCTCGATCGGAGTTGGAGCAGAGATTGACTTCCACGCTCGTCATGGTGGAGGTGCTTTCCCAGCAGCTCACTTCTGCACGGGCTCATAATCCGAGCAAAGATGCTTCTCCATCAGACCTCAGAGAGAAACTCATCCAGACGGACCACACTGAGCTCAGCCAGGTGAGATGCCAAGCACTTCCGGCAGGTCTAGGTGATATTTCAATATGTAAATTAAAGGGAAAGTTCACCCGAAAATGAACATTCTGTCGTCATTCACATCGGATGAGTTTCTTTATTCTGTTGAACGCAGAAGAAGATATTTTGAAGAATGTTGGTAACCAAATAGTTGACGGTAGCCATTGACTCCCATAGTATGGGAAACCCATTTGTATTAAATCATAAAACAAAATCCAGAAAAAAAAATGAAAACAGAAATTTGAAAGACCTCAATTAAAAAGTACCTTACTCTTGAGTTGTTTACTTTTAAATAAAGAAGTCATGTTTACATTCATTCTCGATGTCTAACAAACATGTGGACTGCATTTCCTTCCCCATTAGTGGTGTGAAATAATTTGATAAATATCGATATAGAATAATGGAAAATATATTGTGGTGATAGTTTTTTTTTATCGTGTTGCCCAGACCTAATCTCCAGTGATTTTACTGACCTCACCGAAGGCTCAAAGCTGTGCTGAGCTTCAATCAGAACATTTTGATGTTAAAGACGGCTGTGCAGAAATCATTTTGGAAGAAAAACT